CTTGCTGGCTCAAATCTGCAGAAGGATGCATCGATGCGTCCTCGATAAAATGGGCGGAGCAAGAACACATCTGGGTACTTTGAGCGACCTGTCGCGATAAACTATAAATCAGTTAACGGAACAATAAATGAAAGTCATTGACCTCATTTTAATTTAACACAATCCTTACCCCCACCTCATGAACCGTCCCTCACCTCTTGGAGGGGATGATTTCATGGCAGGAAAGAGCCGATGAGGATTTCAGGAGAAACTTCTAATTCTTCTTTGTCAGTTAGTCATGGCTGCAGGTCAAACAAGGGAGCAAACTACATGACTCACATGACAGTCCTTTAAGACAATTAGCAGATAAGCATTTTACCCAAGATGTCTTCAAGTCTCTTATACTATCACAGCTGCAGAAACATCTAAACATTATCTGGAAACTTCTTGAATGGAAAAACACAGAAATATAAAAATACAGCAGATATAATCTGTAAATAAATGGTAAAAAGTTTCATCAGTTCCATCAAAGACGACCAGAACAATCTGAAGATTTTTATCATGTCTGTCAAGCAGGTTGACTGTTGGACATGATCAGAACTAGAACCTGAGTTTAACCTTGAGTTTAATCCTGAACTGCAGAGATTCTGTTTCTCGTCAAACTCGGTAAATTCATCAAATGATGACATCACTGTTTTATTTTAATCTGTTTATTTGATTTAATTGGAACTGACTTTATTTCTTCTCTCATCACAGACTTGGTGGCTGTAAACTCTCAGAGGCTGGATGTGAAGTTGTGGCTTCAGCTCTGAAGTCCAACCCTCATCTGACTGAACTGGAAATAAGTGAGATAAACATAAATAAATGTGGAACCCTTGGAGACTCTGGACTGAAGAACATCTGTGAGATTCTGGAGAATCCAGTCTGCAAAGTGAAGAGTTTGAGGTTTGTTTTCTCTTCTTGTACCATAAAATCAGTCACTAAAATTTTAATACTTTTTAGCTAATAAAATTATTCTGTTTTTCAAAAACAACTTATCAAGATATCAGAATATGATTTGTAAAACTTTTTTACCCAGTAAATGAATTACTTTTTATTTCAGACTTTCAGATTATTGAACTTTGTTTCTCAGTTTTTCTCACTTTGACACCTTGGACTTTGATTTTCAAATTAAATAAAAACTTTACTTTCATCTGAAGATAAACTGAGTACCGTTCTGGTCAGACCCAGTCAGATTCCTGTAGCTCAGGTTCTGATCCGTCTGTAGTGGATCCAGATGTTCTGACCTGAAGCTCCTCCAGGTTCTGGATGGGTTCTGCTGGACAATCCTATCAGATGTCCCTGTTGCACATCTTCCCACCACAGTTTTTCCTTCCATTCAACTTTCTATGAATAATAATTTCTGAGACATGGAGGATATTTAGTTCCTTTGTTCTCAGGCCCAGCAGCCAAACATGTTAAGTTTCACTCAGTCATCAGTCTGTCCACATGGTTGGATCCCAATAATCTGATCAGTTTCTGATGAATTTTCATTAAATGTTTAGATTACAATGGCTGCTGTTGGTTTAGGACTCAGGTCAGAGGAATATTTCACAGTTTCAGCTCTAAATGTTGAGGCTTGAATGGCGTTTTTCTGGGTTCCTCATTGGACAGACTGCAGTCTGGTTTTGGGACAGACCAGAGTCCAGACTTTGTAGATTTTCTGTCATCAGACGTTCAGAGTCTGGAAACAGCAGCAGTGATGACGGCTCAGCCTGCAGCGAATAGAAGCAGCAGGAAGTCGGAGGAACATCCAGAGAGGAAACTGACTGAGGGACGGATTCAGAGGGAAGTAGATGGAAAAGCTTTGATGCAGATCTGGGAGGTTGATGCAGCTGCAGACCTTCTCAGTGCAGCAGCAGCTGAGAACAGAAGAAACGAGGTTAGACACAGAAAGCCAGAGTCCAGTGCAGGCCCTGTGGGTTTGGGGGGCTTTGGGGGCCATTGCCCACCCACAGAGACAGCTGTGCCTCCCCTGGACTGGAAGCTGCTTGTTGTTTTTACCTCAGAGTGGCCAACTCTCTGTTATTCCTATATCGATTTGATACAGTGGGAGCTTCCGCACTTCCCATATCTGTGTCCTCTGTCACTTTTTTCATCAGTTAAAACTGTTTAATCCATTGTTAACACGTCGTAAGCTGTTTTTCCCAGGCGCCTTTAAATGCAACATGAAAGCTAAGACGCTCACGCTGGGTTTACACCTGTGCTGCAGCGAAGGAGACCTGCTGCTGTTGGTCTCCTTCCTGAACTGCTCAGATTAGAATCATGGCAGCAAAACGCAAAGAACTTTGCACAATTTTTCCCTCAAACTAACCAACTGAGTTGAGTAAAGCTGTTAGATGCAGGTAATGTTAGCTAAAAGATGACTAGCTAATAACAATACAGCACGTTAAGCTTGTTAACAAGTAGCCTGTAGGCTACTGATGTTGTCTATGTTCAGCTACATAGATTCATTTTGCCCCCCCCAAAATAAGTCGTTGCCCCCCCTGTTAAACTCGTCTGGATCCAGGGCTGATCCAGTGGATCATCTGCAGAAAGAACAGAAAGTTAATGTCAGCAATAAATTAGTCGATGCTGTGAGTCAGTTAACGAGAGCTGCTGCTGCTTCAGTCCTGATCTTTCTCTCTCTGCTGAATAGATCAAGAAAACCCTGATGGTTTCTGTCCAGACACTCCACCTCCCACTGGGGTCAGAGGTCACAGACCTCTCATTACTTCCTGGCATGTTGAAGACATGTTCAGGGGTAGAGATGGAGGACATGTTGAGCCTCTTGGCCACAGAGTGATGAGACCTGGGGGAGTGCTCTGTCTCAGACTGGATCTGTATCGATTGATGAAGATTAAATTATAGATTTGCAGGAGAGTTTTGTGACTGAACTGCAGATACTGGAAAATTAAAGAATATCAACTTGTTGTCACTGCATCATTGATCAC